GCTTGTGTGCGTGTGTGTCTGTGTGCACGCCTGCATTCGTGTGTGTGCACGGCGCTTGTGTGCGTGTGTGTGTGTGTGTGTGCCTGCAGTCGTGTGTGCACGACGCTTGTGTGCGTGTGTGGTGTGTGTGCACGCCTGCACTCGTGTGTGCACGACGCTTGTGTGCGTGTGTGGTGTGTGTGCACGCCTGCACTCGTGTGTGCACGACGCTTGTGTGCATGTGTGTCTGTGTGCACACCTGCACTCGTGTGTGTGCACGATGCTTGTGTGCGTGTGTGTCTGTGTGCACGCCTGCATTCGTGTGTGTGCACGGCGCTTGTGTGCGTGTGTCTGTGTGCACGCCTGCACTTGTGTGTGTGCACGACGCTTGTGTGCGTGTGTGGTGTGTGTGTGTGCCTGCAGTCGTGTGTGCACGACGCTTGTGTGCGTGTGTGTCTGTGTGCACGCCTGCATTCGTGTGTGTGCACGATGCTTGTGTGCATGTGTGGTGTGTGTGTGTGCCTGCACTCGTGTGTGTGCATGACGCTTGTGTGCGTGTGTGTCTGTGTGCACGCCTGCATTCGTGTGTGTGCACGACACTTGTGTGCGTGTGTGTGTGCACGCCTGCACTCGTGTGTGTGCACGACGCTTGTGTGCATGTGTGGTGTGTGTGTGTGCCTGCACTCATGTGTGTGCACGACGCTTGTGTGCATGTGTGGTGTGTGTGTGTGCCTGCACTCGTGTGTGCTCGACGCTTGTGTGCGTGTGTCTGTGTGCACGCCTGCACTCGTGTGTGTGCACGATGCTTGTGTGCGTGTGTCTGTGTGCATGCCTGCATTCGTGTGTGTGCACGACGCTTGTGTGCGTGTGTGTCTGTGTGCACGCCTGCACTCGTGTGTGTGCACGCTTGTGTGCATGTGTGGTGTGTGTGTGTGTGCCTGCACTCGTGTGTATGTGCATGTATTAGTCTTTTTAGGTTGCTTATAATAAAATACTTTGAACTGGGTAATTTATAAAGAAAAACAAAATTTATTGTTTACAGTCTCCGAGGCTGGGAAGTCCAAAGTCCATCTGGTGGTGGCAACAGTGACCCAGGGGGTCTCACATTGCAAGATGGTGGAAGCAGAGAAAGAGAGAGACAGACTGTCCTCTTCTTTTAAAGCCCTCAGAACCACACCCCTGACCACTATTATTAACCCATTCACTACTGCACAGTCCTATGATCCAATCACCTCTTCAAGGCTCCACCTTTCAATTACCATAATAGGATTTCCCACCCTCTTAACAGTCACGGTAGGGATTAAGCTTCTAATATATGAAACGTGGGGACACAATTCAAGCTTAAATGAGTTTTGGGGGGACATAATTCAATCCACTACAGTGCACAATGCCTGTGTGCACGTGTGGTGTGTGTCTGTGTGTGTGCATGCACGTGTATGTGCAAATGCACGGGACACACTGGAAGGCCCCTAACCATGGTTAACTCTGGGAAGGGGTGTGGGGGTGCAGGGTCACTGTCCCTCTTACCTCTACTTCGTTTCCTCCCATGTGGTTTGACTTTGCTTGCAGCAAGCATACTCAAGTACTCTTCATAACTGCACATACCACTGGGGTTCTCCTTGACCCTCCGTGCAGCTTGCACAGGTCAGTGGGGGTCATACCCTGAACCGAAGCTTCAGGACCCCCTCATGGTCTGATCAAGACATCAGGAAATGATGCACCATTTGCCTCACAGCTGCTCCAGGAGCTGACCCCAATCCCACGTGCTTGGCTGTGGGTTGAGTGGGGCAGTGGGGCCCCCACCTGTGTGTGTGGCTCACTCCTCCAGCCCAGCCACAGCTCCCAGAGGTCCCACACCCGTGTCATGAACGGGAGGCTGAGGCTCAGGACAGCCACAAAGGATGCCACTCACAGCTGGGACGTGGGCCCCGAGTGGTGGCACTGGGGACCCCAGGCCCCTGTGACCTGGGTCTGTCCCCCTCCTCAGGGTGAGGGCGAGGGCATCTGGGAACTAACGTGATCTCTG